TAGCTTTGAGTTGCTGTTAAGAGGCCCAGAGCTGAGACAGTTGCCTGATTGCCTGGCCGCCTGGCGGGGCTGCCCATGAAAGGCCCCCTTTGTGCTGGGCCGTCACTGGGAAGCTGCATTCAATTACCGAGGGCCGCGCTCGAGAGTTGAAAGCCCGAATGGGAGCCCCTGGTCCCCCCTCGCTTTCTTCTCTTCTCACCCCACCCCCACCCAGAAAAGAAACAGATGTTCCCGGAGAAGGAGGCGGAGAGCAGGCGCTGATGCAAGAACCCCTTCCTTTGGCCTGGGAGAGCTGGGGGGAGGCGGCAGGCGGGAAGCTAACCCCCAGCCCGTTTGGCTCCCAGCTCTTCCTTCTCTCCCTTTCCCCTCCCCCATCAGGAATGCTGCCCCACAGAGTGTCTGGCACACAGTAGGTGCTCAACAGATGGTAGCAGGCACCAGGGAGGTGATTGGATGAATGAGCTTTGGGATCTGAGCCCCACAACGGGGCCAGGCAAAGAGACCAGTTCCCCAGCCTCCCAGACAGGCCTCCCCCTTCTACAAGGGGTAGGATGTGGGGGAGGGGAGAGGGTGGGAGCTGCCCCAGCAGAGTCAGCCTCCCCCACCCCCTGGCCTCTTCTGATCCCTCCGGGTGGGGCTTCCAGGCCCCTCCCACCCAGACCCACCCTCGCTCTCTCCCTAACAATACCTTTCACAGCCTTCTCGCTGATGGAGCTCATTTCACCCTTCAGCCTACAGGGACCCACCCATCTTCCAGACAGGGATGCTGAGGCCCAGAGAAACTCCCACAGTCACCTCCTACCCCAGACACCATCCCCTCTGGGATGGGCCCAAAGTGATCTGGCGATTCCTCCCCAAGACTGAGGCCCAGGGCCGGCCACAGTTCTCAAACCTCTAGCAACTATCCCAGCTAGTCAGTGGGTGCCCTGCTAGAGAGACTGTGGCTCTCCCTTCAGCCCCCACCCTCACCAACCCTCGCTGCCCCTGGACCAGAGGGACCCCCAGCCTCCTGCCTCATGGCATCACTACTGCCTGCCCAGACCTCTCTGCTTCCGGGCCAACCTCACCACAGCCCAGCATCAGGTGCCCCCCGACCCCTCCCACTCTTGGCATATGGAGCCCTGTGTCTGTGCGGGCCCCTTTGTTCCCTCCTGGCCCGGCAGCTGGGCAGGAGGCAGAGAAAGGGGCTCGTATTGTGCTGCACCTCGTCCCGGGGAGACCAGCGAGGGACTTCCCATTGTCTTGGTCTTGGGGTTTCCTGCAGGGAAGAGGGGTGAGGAGGGTGAGGGTCAGCAGCAGGGCTGTGAGGGTGCGGAGGAGGGGAGGGGCCAGCGGACATAAATTAGCAGCCTGACTAGGGAGCATTTATCTCCCCGGAGGGGACAGGGCTCTCATTCCCCCTCTTGCGACCTCTGGGCATGTGTGGGCTTTGGAAAAACCAGGCAGCTCTGAGTTCAAGCCCAGCTCTTCCATTTCCTTGGGAGAAAGGCAGAGGTGTGACAGTTCACTGGCTGCAGGCAGAGGTGTGACAGTTCACTGGCTGCAGGCAGAGGTGTGACAGTTCACTGGCTGCAGGCAGAGGTGTGACAGTTCAACAGGGAACTCAGGTCGCCTTCCGTAGATGGTGTCACGATGGTTCTGAGCACTGTAGATACTGCTCTTGAGGGCCTGGAGGCCATAGGGGACTTCCGGTTCCCGAGAACACGTGCACATTACAGATCCCACGGCTCGGACCGAGTGGGCAAGGCCAGCTCTCCGCTTCCCTACCTGCAAAGCAGGACGCGCCGGTGGCCCCAGGCTCGTGTGCGTTGGGCTCTCTGGGCTCCTGGCTGTAGGGTGTTTCTCGGGTGTTCATTGAGGCTGAGGACATTCAGTTGCTGCTCTGAGCGCACATTTGCTGGGCAGAGACGAGGCAACCTGAGTACAGTCTTCTGAACTGCGGTTTTGTTTTGTTGTTGTTGTTTTGCAGAGACGGGGGAATGGGGAAGGAAGGGGAGAAACAAGGAAGGGAGGCGGGGGCGGGGAGGGAGAGGGAGAGAGAGAGGGAGAGGCATCAATGTGTTGCCCCACTTAGGGACGCATTCATTGGCCGCTCCTTGTAGGTGCCCCGACCGAGAGGTTGAACCCACAGCCTTGGTGGGTCAGGACGTTGCTCTAACCAGCTGAGCCACCGGCCAGGGCCCTGTGCTGTGCTCTGTTTGGCGTGTACTGTTCGCTCACACCCGAGAGCCTCTCTTCCAGAGAGTTAGCTGTCAGGGCGTCCCATCTGCTGCCTTCTTCTCCTCCAAACACTGCCGGGAGCTTGGGGTGGGGGAGGGCAATGCTATTTTTAGCTGCACAGTTCAGCTCCCGATGCCATTTTACTTCTTCCCAGACCCACTCTTCCTCGTGATGGTTCCCCGATAGGCAGATGGCGTGCAAGCCAAGGACACCCCGTCCCAGCAATGTTAAGAAGGAATGTAATGCCTTCTATTGCTTTGCAAAAGCTTCGGGATGGTCCTCGGGTGACCACTGGAACGCTTGTGGCTCTTGTTCTCATGCTGGTTGAATGATTGAGTGTGGCTTTCATTCCGGATCCCACGCGGGTGGGCAGTGCAGGAGCCTCTGCAGGTCTCCCCTCCTGGCCCTGGCCCTGGCCCTGGCCCCCGTCACACAGTAAGTCAGGGGCTGGACCTAGGCAGACGCTCAGTTTACCCGGCGTGAACCTCTGCTTTGAAACGTAGGTTTTGTTATCATTCAGGTCTGGCGAGGCCAATAGGTCTGGAGACAGTGGCCGCTGAAAGATGGTTTGCGCCTCACAGGTCCCAAGAAGAAGGCACACACGGTGCCACCCAGGACCCCCCGGGGAAGCCCCGGGGCCACCAGCAGGCAGGGGAGCAGGAAGAAGACGTGGGCAGGAGCCTTGACAGTGGTGCCCACGGGAAGTCAAAGCCGGGGAAGCAGGCTTAGGGGAGGCCAGTGAATTCAGGGGCTCTGGGGAGTAGGGGCTGGCCCTGGGGTGGTTAGGCACAGGGAACAGTGGGTGAGCGTGTGGGAGCCCGTCCGGTGGGCTGTGGGCTCTGAAATCAGCTCATCGTCTGAGGATGGACAGTCCCTCCAGGGGCAGCAGGGCCCCAGGTGTCAAACCATGAGAAATACCACAAATAAAAAGGCAGGGTTCATTCACCCTCAAAAACACTCCGCGCAGGGAGCGGACATTCAGACCAGAGCCCTCCGTGCCTCCCAGCGCTGAGCACCCCGCCTGTCCCCACCGCGCCCCTGACACCCGATCTCTGTCCCCCCAGGGAAGCGACAGCGAGTACGAGGTCGACCAGAACCACCAGAAGGCCCACTCCTTCGTCAACCACTACATCAGCGACCCCACCTACTACAACTCCTGGCGGCGGCAGCAGAAGGGCATCTCGCGGGCCCAGGCCTACAGCTACACGGAGAGCGACTCGGGGGAGCCGGACCACGCCGC